AACCACACTTACTAACTTAATGTTACAATACACACGACCACACTTACTAACTTAATGTTACAATACATACGACCACACTAGGTAACTTGATGTTACAACATACACAACCACACTTACTAACTTGATGTTACAACATACACGACCACACTTACTAACTTGATGTTACAACATACACAACCACACTTACTAACTTGATGTTACAACATACACGACTACACTAGGTAACTTGATGTTACAACATACACAACCACACTTACTAACTTAATGTTACAACACACACGACCACACTAGGTAACTTAATGTTACAATACACACGACCACACTAGGTAACTTGATGTTACAACATACACGACCAGACTAGGTAACTTGATGTTACAACATACACGACTACACTAGGTAACTTGATGTTACAACATACACAATCACACTTACTAACTTAATGTTACAATACACATGACTACACTAGGTAACTTGATGTTACAACATACACGACCAGACTAAGTAACTTGATGTTACAACATACACGACTACACTAGGTAACTTGATGTTACAACATACACAACCACACTTACTAACTTGATGTTACAATACACATGACTACACTAGGTAACTTGATGTTGCAACATACACAACCACACTTACTAACTTGATGTTACAACATACACAACCACACTAGGTAACTTGATGTTACAACATACACAACCACACTTACTAACTTGATGTTACAACATACACGACCATACTAGGTAACTTGATGTTACAACATACACATCCACACTTAGTTGAAGCACAATGATTTCAAGCAGATGTGTAAGTTATTGATCTGGAGTTTTCGAATCCTTTGTTTTAAGCAATAACGAACCTCGATAAGGTAGAAGTTTCTTTTAAGTGTAAAAGATATTGAATTAAGGTGTTTATCTTTACCTAATGTTTGACATGAAACCATTTCTTCCCTTGAACTTGAATCATAAAATATCATATGTACAAAATTTGGCGTCACCAGCGTTCTTGAACTATCGCATTGTGTGTATATAGAGAGTAATAATATCGTGTTATGTGTATTTGTTACAACAGTTTTCAAGTCATTAGTCTGGAACTAATTTATATATATATAAAAGTGGTAAATTTATGGTGACAAGATGGCTATCAAACTTTAGATAGATGAAAGCTGTTATTAGTACGATGAGAAAAATAGTCCGTGGGCCGATGCGATGTGCGCGTTTCGGGTGGTTAATGATCTCGGACATGTAGGGAGATTTTAATGAAAGGTTCATTAACTAGCGGGTGCGTGTAGTGATCTTTAAGATTCAGATAAAAGTGGTCGAGAAACTTTTCGCGCTTAAAAAACAAATTCGGCTCATAAGAAAAATATCGAACTGAATGTCTCAATGTACAGACGTAAAGGTTTAATGGATGGCGTTAAATACAAGTCAAGGATTAATGTTTTTCTAGTTATAATTATGTTTAACACACCATTAATTTT